CAAGATCAAAATTTCATGAAACTAAACCGAAAAATTTACCAGAATTTTTACGAAAAAATGTTCCATCTAATTTAAATCCATCCGATCCAACATTTAGCTTACTTAATGAAACAAATCCTAATCTTTTTCAATTACGTTTGGCTCATATGATGGCAAATGTTGCTGCTTTATCATCATCTTCTTCCGGGCATAATAATAATAATAATAATAATAATGATGGTAATAATGTTCATTCAATGATGAATACATTTGCTCATATGCAACAAAATATTTTATTAAAAATATTAAATGATCCAATAGCAGCTGCTCAAGCAGCACAAGTTGCAACTGCAGCTGCTACATCAATTACACAAAATAAAGTTAATTTATCACCTATGTCATTATTAACACCGAATAATAAACAAAGTGGAAGTGGTCGAAAAAGAAAATCAACACCAGAAAAACGTATTATTTCAAATCATCAATCAACAGAAAATAATAATGATGTAAAAAAAAAATTTTTATATTCAAAAATTGATTATATTATTTTATTATTTAGATTTCTCCACCTATTGAATATGAAGCAATTAATAATTCAACTGAAAATATCAATAATCAAGATATACTTGATCATCCACTAGAATTAACATATAAAAATATTCAACGATCAAATCCTGTTTCATCATCCACAGATATTCAAAATCTTATGGTAAATTCAAAAGATCCCTTTCTTTTTTTCTCTAAAGATTTCAAATTACCACTGAATATAAAATCTATTGAATTCTTTCCTTTTTACAATTCTAATCAAAACAACAAACGTTTTAAGTACGTTATTTAAATAGTTGAATGGTTAAATCTGATAGTCTATTGGTTCGAATCTACATTGAGGAATAATATAAAATTTATTTAGATAAATCCAAGAAAAGAAAATGGAAGTCCGTCGAATCTAGGACAATTTTATCAACATATTGATGAAGGTAAATAATAAAAATAATAATAATAAATCATTTCTCATATTGCAACTGATGATTTTGGAGAATAATCTGAACATAAACCATGTTGTTATTCATTCAATATTGCAAGCTTTGATCCCTCTGATGCAATAAATGAGAAAATGATTTTTTTTTCGTCTTCTTTTTTGTATTATTTTATAAAAAATCTCTAGATCGTAAAGAGAGTGCGACACCGAATGATTCGTCGTTGTCTCTTTCACCATCAGACACTCGTTCTCCAAAATTCTCAAAACGAAAACGTCTTTCAACTAGCGGTCAATATGATTATTTAAATACACTTAATAATCTTTCAATGGTTAATCTACCACAAACAACAACAGATTTATTATCACCAAATCATCATCATCATCATCAACAACAAACAACAATTAATGATGATAATAATTCAAATATTCATCAACGACAACAACAACATAAATTAGAGCCACGTTCGTGTGCTGAATGTGGAAAAGTATTATTTACTGATAAAGCACTTTTACTTCATTGTCAAACACATGCAAAAAATGTAAAACAATGTTGGATATGTGGAATAAATGATGATGATATTAAAAAACATATTCATACTGAACATGGAAATCAAAAATTTACAAATACTGGTTTTCGAGTAAAAATAAATATTATAAAATCACATTTTTCTTTTCATTATTATTTTCATTTTAGTGTCAACATTGTGAGAAAGTTTTTCCTGTTTTTGCTGATCTAGAAACACATACAAAAGAACATAGCAAAAAGAAGGTTAGTTTTTTTTTTATTGTTTAATAATATTTAAAAAAAAAACGTAACTGATTCCTCTAGCCATTTGAATGTCCAATATGTAATAAACGTTTTGGGCAACAAGGAAATTTAAGTTGTCATTTACGAATTCACAGTGGTGTCAAAGTATGATTTTATAAATAAAGAATAAGAAAAAAAATTATTGTTGTATTTTGTTCTCATCTCTTTAAGCCATTTACTTGTACAAGTTGTGGTAAAGCATTTCGTCATTCAAATAGTTTACGACGTCATGCTCGAACAGTTCATTCAGCATCTCGTGGTTTAACAACAACAAATTCACTTCTTCTTCCTCATACTACAACATCATTATCTAATGATCTAAAAAGTGAACCATTTGATGATGTTCCATCAGGACTTATGAATCCATCTGATGATAATTCATCATCCGATGATGGTATGCCATCGCCTTCGATATCTAATGCACAAGTTGACAGTGATTAGTACGAATAAATTGATCTGTAGAACATTGTTTATTCACATTAGCAATACGAATCGTTTATCCTCTCTGATTTTTGTTTTCTGTGTGTCTGGCCTCGATTTCTACATGTGAATTTGTACAGTTTTATCTGATGTACTAGTGAACAGTATTTCTTTATGTAGAATGGCCTTATTATTTTATATTCGAGAACAGTTATTCTATTTGTCTTCTGTATGATTGTGTATATGTGTTCTTTTTTTTTTATATGGCAGTATTTTCCATCTTTTCAGTCAATACCATCATTATCGTTTGTGTTTTTGTTTGTGATGCCGGTGATAAAATAGATCAGAAAAAAGAGAAATTATATATTATATTCGAACAGTGTTTATTATATGCGTATTGTTCCGGTG